CGTATAATATGAATTGCTTCGGCTTAAAAAAAATATGGCTAACCCCACATCTTAACGATAGACTTGGAAGTAAAACCCGAACGATTCGAGCACCATTACGGCTTTCTGATGAACTTTTAACGACGTACGTTACGTTTTATACCCCATTCGGCCAAATCATATCTGCCGCTCGCTGCTTGTTGTGTAACTTACGAGTCAGAACTCAAGTAAGCATGCAGGTTTCAGTTAGGAACGTTATGTTTTGCACCCCGTAGTCGGGCAACATTACGTTGGACTGATCTCTTTTGTTATGAAGTTATGCTTGTAACCCGTAGTCGGGCAACATAACATTGGACTGAACTCTCTTGTTGATAGAAGAACTGTTTACTAAAATACTTGCAATATACACGATTGTGCATTGAAAATCAGCTATTTGTATATCCTGCATCTACTGGATCGCGGAGAGATAAGGACTTGTATTTAGTCTTCTTGGCCTGGTTCTTAGTTGTGGAAATTAGACAAAACTGGTGATAAATTAATGAGCCAAGTACAGTTCGATAATCCCATCCATTAAATGAATAATTTCCCGTTTGCTTATGAATTAGAGAAGAGCAATTGTCATTTATTTCCTAACATCATTTTCAGGGTTGTCTCCAATGGTGTTTGGTTGTCTAAGAAATTATTAATAAGAAATTCTGGGTGAAAATACAGACGAATGTATAATAATATGTCAACAATACTATATCTGCTATATCCAGAGCCGACGAAGCCTTTCGCTCAATACCATGGCTCTTCAGGCCAACTGGGATACGACAGATATAGAGATGGTTGAAACGCTATTCCTATTAGCAAATTGCATGACAACAATTATGGTGTGAACTGGATTAAACTGGTTAAATGTAAGTTCTCATCGGTGTTATTTATGTCACAACACATCAAAATTAGGGTAATGATTATTTAACACTGTATTATTTATATAATTTGTATTTCCAATCAAGTGTCCAATTTTTCTTCGGACAATCCGTTGCACACCCAGAACTATCTGTTCAAAGTTTATCCCTATAACAAACTAAAGGACAGATACGAGTAGGATCACCGAAGTTAACTTAAGTATTGTTCTAACTACAAAGTTATTTGAACTTAACTGCTGGATTGCCCCGCAGATTAGCTAGTCTTTAAATCCAATGATTAAAGGTTTAATTGACAGAATTGTTACTAGAGGGCATTTATGTACAAAGTATATATATACATGTGCTGCTTTTGTATTATATACTCTTTCTTGCACATGTTTTGTTGATTATATTGATAGATCACTTTTCAGTTTAATTAATAATTCTGCCGCTTGAGCACACCTTTTCTAAGAAGTTTGCTTACGGTAGTTTATTTTTGAAACATAAGACGAAGGCCACTGCCATACGTGAGGCCTACTAGGTTGTATTTTATATTCGTTACTACTACTATAATTCGTCAAGTTTTTTTTTTCTTTTATTTTTCTTCAGTCAGTATCACATTCTGACTGTTTTGAGATTCCTGACCTGTGATGTGTTAATTGTTATTGTTCATTAGTATAACTAGTTGTGGTCTGAGATTCGTTTCTAGTAGACAACTGTTTGTATACCATGCTTGTGACACTGCAGCTTAAGGTCCATGTATTGTAAGAAAAACGACCTTATACTCAGATAGTTTTCCTTGTTTTGTTCACAAGAGTATCAAAGCTTTCTTTTTTGTTGGTGTTTCCCGTAGTTAAGTAAATATTATACGACAACAATACTGACACGTTGTCGGAACAACGACTTACATCTCTGGCATCATTTGTTACCTAACGTAATCAATATTACACTGATGGTTTTTTTTTTCGGAGGGGGGCTTATTTGAATTGTACTCCGGATCTGTCTCTTCAGATATAGTTTTGTAATCAAAGGACGATCTTTCATTTTGTTCACATTTCAAAATTAAATAATATCAATACGTCAATGATGACACTAATTCTTTAGTCGTTCGTGCCATTTCTTACTGTATCATTCTAGTTTCGACA